GACGTCCTTAGCTGTTGAGCAGCTTCTCTGCGTCCGAGTCGGGGATTTCAAAACCTGGGACGGCAAAGACAAGGGGATGTCGGTCGGCACGGCAGGCACACCAGACATACCAGACACGCTAGATTACAGGCACAGCAGACATGCCAGTCACTCCAGGCACCCAATCACCCCAGACACACCACACGCACCATCACACTGGCACAGTCGGGTTTTTACAAAAATTGCCTTTTTATATTAAACCCGATCATCTGAGATTAGGAGAAATCCGATTTAATTGTCTTTTTATATTAATCCCGATCATCTGAGATTGGGAGAAATCCGATTTAATTGTCTTTTTATATTAATCCCGATCATCTGAGATTGGAGAAATCCGATTAATTGTCTTTTTATATTAAACCCGATCATCTGAGATGAGAGAAATCCGATTTAATTGTCTTTTTATATTAAACCCGATCATCTGAGATTGGGAGAAATCCGATTTAATTGTCTTTTTATATTATCCCGATCATCTGAGATTGGGAGAAATCCGATTTAATTGTCTTTTTATTAATCCCGATCATCTGAGATTGGGAGAAATCCGGTTTCATTGGTTCTAATTGCAGAATCGCACTTCTCAGCGATGGGCTTCATCCATTCCCCAAGCTAAGGAACTCACTGGCGGCGCCCACGATTGTGGAGGAGAAGCTCGTGTTCATCACGACCAACCTGCCCGCCGCATTCTACGACTACCCCGTGCCCGACGCCCCCCCGAATACGACAGCAGCACCGACGAGGAAGCAGCCTAAGCCTTGGATCAGAGCTTCGATTCATTAAACCGGGTTTTAACTCCCCGAAATCGGGTTCAATTGTATTAAAGAAAAAACACGATGCCTGCCGCTGCAAAATCGGGTTTTTTCCACCTGCATTAAACGAGTACCTGGCGTAGCGGTGCGTACAAAACGTCGCCACTGGGGAGACAAAGGCGGCCGTGCGTGGTGCTAACGACTCCGCCGCATCGTGTGCTAAGTCGGCCTTCACAGCTGCTCACTAACAGCACTTGCCCCAACAGTCCGTGCGAGGCTACACGGCTTCTTCTGCCTTTGTGTGCGAGTGTCTGTGTCTCTCCGCAATCTCTCACCAAACTCATCCTCGATGCCCATGATGAGCTCCACTTGATCCAAGCTGTCAAGGCCCAGGTCTTTCAGGAAGTGAGACTCTAGCGTTAGCTGCGAAGACAAAGAATCGCCCGCGTGGCCTTCAACAGACCGTAGCGTGGGGGGCAAATGTTGTGGGCGAGTAGCAGCACCTATGAAGGCCGGCACGGCACACGAGGGGGTGGGTGGGTGGCCAGCACCACGCCCCCCGATGTTTACACACTCATTTGAGGCCGAGTCGACCTAGGGGAGGCGCAGCACCGGTTCAGACGATCGTCACCGGTGTTGGCCGCGAGCGGGAGCCGAACTCGGGTCGCCGGGTTCGTAGCGCGCGCGCTCACCGCTGCGCTACCGCTCCCCGCACACAGGAACATTCACAGCCACGTGTGTGCGTGCGTGTAACCGTGAGTGTGTAAAGATACGTAACCGTGTGTGCGAGTGCATGTGTACGTAACTAGGGGCTCGCACTTTCCCCAACATAGTCTGTTCAAGGCCAATTTGAAGCTTTCGTGACTGCAAGGATTCATACTTTTTTCGGTAAAGTCGCGTAGGTAAACATAATATAGTATATAAATAATAGTTTCGGAGGCAACACAAATCTCCGTCTTCAGGTGGGACCGTCACAGCCAGATTTGCTGTATCAAGTGAGGCAGAGATTCCAAGATACAAGCTCTTAAATACAAGTTAAGGGGGGAGGAGGGGGGAGGGGCTTATCTGAATGTGGTAGCCAATGAGTGGAACGTATTGGGGGGGGGGTAGGCGGGGCTAAAAGAGAACAACAGGTGCACATGTTGTTGTTGTACCCGGTGTTGGTTGACAATCCAAATACAAAAAGGAGAGTACTGTTAAACGCTGGGGATGTCAACACTCGGTAAAGTAGAATAGTACCTGTCAAATAAGATAGTATGTTCAAGGCCATATTTGTGGTCTTTGTGCGTTGCGTAACACAGATGTGTACGAGTGAGAGTGTACATATACGAACGTGTGTAGAGGCATGTGAGTGTGTGTAGAGGCATGTGAATGTGTGTAGAGGCATGTGAATGCGTGTGTAGAGATTTGTAGGTTACAAGTTCGATTCCCGCTCACGGTCCAACACCGCCGACGATTATCTGAAGCCGTCCTGGGCCTCCCCCTAGGTCGACTCAGCCTCAAATGAGTACCCGGTGCGGTGCGCGGTAAACATCGCCGCTGGGGGAGACAAAGGCGGCCGGGCGTGGTGCTGACCCACCCGACCCCGGCCTTCGCAGGCGCTGCTGCTGACTAACCGCACTTGCCCCGACAGCCTGCCACGGGCTACACGGGGGACCTTTGCAATTTGTTTGCGTGGCATCGCGCCGCTCGTCCCCTCGCTCACCTTCTGCGGGTCCACCTTGTCATACGCCTTCAGCACCAGCATCACTCGGTCGTGCACCGAGGCGTCCGCGGTGGCGCTGTCCGCCAGGAAGCGAGCGCACACTGCACTCGGGTGGCGTGGCGGCTGCTGCTGCTGCTTCCACAGAGGTGAGATGACCTGCAATGCACGTTAGCGAGTTGGACTTCTTTCGCGCCGTACGTATGGAGACAAACCGTCGCCAATACGGAGGTGCGGGGCGGCGCGGGCTGGAAGGACGACAAACTGAACGCGCGAAAAGCAGTTCTGAAGAAGTTAGTGTGACGACTTGAAAGTGCGTAGCTCCCCGTGGCTTGCTAAGTCGGAAGGAATCTCGTGGTGCAGGACGTCGCCCAACTTGACACAATCCGGGCTCAGACGTGCTTAGCTTTCGAGATGCAAGTTGGTCACAGGCGCACACACACGTGTACACACGCACACACACGTGTACACACACACACGCGTACGCACACACACACACGCACACGTGTACACACGCACGCGTGTACACACACACACGCGTACGCACACACACACGCACACACGTGTACACACGCACGCGTGTACACACACACACGTGTACACACGCACACACACACGTACTCACACACCACACACGTGTACACACGCACACACACACGTACTCACACACACGCACGCGTGTACACACAACCACGTGTATGCACACACACGTGTACGCACACACACGTGTACACACGCACACACGTGTACACGCACACACGTGTACACACGCACACACACGTGTACACACGCACACACACGTACTCACACACACACGTGTACACATACGTGTACGCACGCACACACACACACGTGTACACATACGTGTACGCACGCACACACGCACACACACACACGTGTACGCACACACACACACACGCACACACTTGCACACACACACGTGTACGCACACACACATGCACACACACGCACACACACGTGTACGCACACACACACGTGTACGCACACACACGCACACACACGTGTACGCACACACACAAATGCGCGTGTACAACTACAATAGCCGCCATTCGCCACACGGTGGCGATAACGTCTCCGCGACGCTTGTGCCAGGCCATGTGCACGTTTAGGCCACGTGAAGTGTCGAACACCCGCTGGCAAGAGATCACAGGGCAGACCCAGAAGGTGCCACGGGTTGACTTGACTGAGATGACTGGCTGATGCACCACCTGTGCCCCCTACTGTGCCAACTTGCTGTGCGTGTGCACGCGCGCATGTGTGTGTGTGACGCACGCGCACACACACACGTGCCCATGCACGCACACAAACACACGTGTTCGCGCACACACACACGCACGTGTACGCACGCATGTGAGTGTGAGACGCACACACACACACCACGTGTTCACGCACACACACAGCGTGCACGTACGCACACACGAGCGCGCCCATATAAACATCATACGGCATTCGCAAACACGCTTGCGCTACAGAACGTCAGTGCTCACACTCATGGTCCCGCACCCCTCACACCGCATCCACCGCACAAACCAACGGGCAGCAGCAGCAGATGCGGATCGGCGATGATGCACCAATGGAAAAGTGCGATGAAAAAAGAACCACCTCTCCAGTAGCAGCGTGGCGACTGTGGTCATCCAGGAACTGAGACCGCAACAACAACAGCAGCAACAACAACAGCAGCAGCAACAACCAGCAGCAACAACAGCAGCAGCAAAACAGCAACAGCAGCAGCAACAGCAGCAGACAACAACAACATCAACAACAGCAGCAGCAGCAACAACAATAACAGCAGCAGCAACAACAGCAACAGCAGCAGCAACAACAGCAACAACAACAGCAGCGGCAACAACAGCAGCACAACAACAACAGCAGCAGCAACGTGTGACAACGTAACGATGCCCCCGATCCACACAATACGAAAGAGGAGACACCACCAGCGACGATACAAGACGACCCCCGCTGCTGCTACTACTCCTGACGCGGGTATCTGCTGGCTTGACCCCCCCACCACCTTGAATTTGAAATTGGAAGTCGTGTGCTGCTCTGCATCTCAGACCCGTCAACCCCTTATCAGTGCCGAGATTCAATCTCGATTTGAGGCTTTCGTGACTGCAGGAATCCATACTCTTTGGTTCTTTCGGTAAAGTCAGATAATAATATAGCACGACGTTTCGATCGCAACACAAGCGTCCGTTCCACCTGATGATGGACGCTTTAGCAACAGTAGCAAAACAAGGACTAAAATAAGTATAACACGTAGAAACAAAGTTTTTCACTATAAATCCTTTATATGCGTGGCGGCTAGAGTCCTCTCGTCCTCTGGCTTGAGATGGCTGCCACCTATGGGTCAGATGATTGCATTGCATCATTAAGCAATTGGTAATTAATATAATATTTTTGTCCTAAAAAGTGTAAAATTTTGGAAAAAAAATTTTCACGAACATTAATTGTCACGCACAACGAGTCTGTGTGGAAAATGTCAGCTCGATTGGATCACGGGAAGTGGATTAAAAAACGACCGAAAGATTTGCACGGTCCTAAGCAAGCAAGCGAACTTAATATAAAGGATTTAAAAACATCGATATAGCAGACAACGAGTTTAAGCATGGCCCTTGAAGAATATTACACGACTTTCCTACCCCCCTGCACCTCCGATTAGCACGATTTTGTGCTACGTACAGTGCAACAGAAGTTCAACATACATACTGCCCATAGACTCAACACCGCCCATAGACTCAACACCGCCCATAGACTCAACACTGCCCATAGACTCAACACTGCACATAGACTCAACACTGCACATAGACTCAACACTGCACATAGACTCAACACCGCCCTAGACTCAACACTGCCCATAGACTCAACACTGCACATAGACTCAACACCGCCCATAGACTCAACACCCCATAGACTCAACACTGCCCATAGACTCAACACTGCCCATAGACTCAACACTGCCCATAGACCCACTGCCCATAGACTCAACACTGCACATAGACTCAACACTGCATAGACTCAACACTGCACATAGACTCAACACCGCCCATAGACTCAACACTGCCCATAGACTCAACACTGCCCATAGACTCAACACTGCCCATAGACTCAACACTGCACATAGACTCAACACTGCCCATAGACTCAACACTGCACATAGACTCAACACTGCCCATAGACTCAACACTGCACATAGACTCAACACCCCCATAGACTCAACACCGCCCATAGACTCAACACCGCCCATAGACTCAACACTGCCCATAGACTCAACATGCACATAGACTCAACACTGCCCATAGACTCAACACTGCCCATAGACTAACACTGCCCATAGACTAACACCTACCATAGACTCAGCACTACCCATAGACTCAACACTGCCCATAGACTAACATTGCCCATAGACTAACACTGCCCATAGACTCAACACTGCCCATAGACTAACATTGCCCATAGACTAACACTGCCCATAGACTCAACACTGCCCATAGACTCAGCACTGCCCATAGACTCAACACTGCCCATAGACTCAACACTGCCCATATACTCAACACTACCCATAGACTCAACACTGCCCATAGACTCAACACTGCGCATAGACTCAACACTGCCCATAGACTCAACACTGCCCATAGACTCAACACTGCCCATAGACTCAACACTCCCCATAGACTCAACACTGCCCATAGACTCAACATTGCCAATTGACTCAGCACTGCTTATAGACTCAACACTGCCCATAGACTCAACATTGCCCATTGACTCAGCACTGCCCATAGACTCAACACTGCCCATAGACTCAACACTGCGCATAGACTCAACACCGCCCATAGACTCAACACTGCCCATAGACTCAACACTGCCCATAGACTCAACACTGCGCATAGACTCAACACTGCGCATAGACTCAACACTGCCCATAGACTCAATACTGCCCATAGACTCAGCACTGCCCATAGACTCAACACTGCCCATAGACTCAGCACTACCCAAAGACTCAACACTGCCCATAGACTCAGCACTGCCCACAGACTCAGCACTGCCCACAGACTCAACACTGCCCATAGACTCAGCACTGCCCATAGACTCACACTGCCCATAGACTCAACACTGCCCATAGACTCAGCACTACCCATAGACTAACACTGCCCATAGACTCAACACTGCCCATAGACTCACACTACCCATAGACTCAACACTGCCCATAGACTAACACTGCCCATAGACTCAGCACTGCCCATAGACTCAACACTACCCATAGACTAACACTGCCCATAGACTCAACATTGCCCATAGACTCAGCACTACCCATAGACTCAACACTGCCCATAGACTCAACACTGCCCATAGACTCAGCACTGCCCATAGACTCAACACTGCCCATAGACTCAACACTGCCCATAGACTCAACACTACCCATAGACTAACACTGCCCATAGACTCAACATTGCCCATAGACTCAGCACTACCCATAGACTCAACACTGCCCATAGACTCAACACTGCCCATAGACTCAGCACTGCCCATAGACTCAACACTGCCCATAGACTCAACACTGCCCATAGACTCAACACTGCCCATAGACTCAACACTGCCCATAGACTCAGCACTGCCCATAGACTCAACACTGCCCATAGACTCAGCACTACCCATAGACTCAGCACTACCCATAGACTTAACACTGCCCATAGACTCAACACTGCCCATAGACTCAACACTCCTGCCTAGAAGACTCAACACTGCCCATAGACTCAACACTACCCATAGACTCAGCACTGCCCATAGACTCAACACTGCCCATAGACTCAACACTGCCCATAGACTCAACACTGCCCATAGACTCAACACTGCCCATAGACTCAACACTGCCCATAGACTCAAGACTACGCATAGACTCAACACTGCCCATAGACTCAGCACTGCCCATAGACTGAACACTGCCCATAGACTCAGCACTGCCCATAGACTCAACACTGCCCATAGACTCAACACTGCCCATAGACTCAACACTGCCCATAGACTCAATACTGCCCCATAGACTCAAGACTACCATAGACTCAACACTGCCCATAGACTCAACACTGCCCATAGACTCAACACTGCCCATAGACTTAACACTACCCAGAGACTCAACACTGCCCACAGACTCACACACCGCCCATATACTCAACACTGCCCATAGACTCAACACTGCACCATAGACGCAACACTGCTACCCATAGACTCAACACTGCCCATAGACTCAACACTGCACCATAGCTCAACACTGCCCATAGACTCAGCACTGCACCATAGACTCAGCACTGCCCATAGACTCAACACTACCATAGACTCAACACTGCCCATAGACTCAACACTACCCATAGACTCAGCACTGCCCATAGACTCAACACTGCCCATAGACTCACACTACCCATAGACTAGCATTGCCCATAGACTCAGCACTGCCCATAGACTCAACACTACCCATATACTCAACACTACCCATAGACTCAACACTACCCTAGACTCAACACTACCCATAGACTAGCATTGCCCATAGACTCAGCACTGCACATAGACTCAACACTGCCCATAGACTCAACACTACCCATAGACTCACACTGCCCATAGGCTCAACACTGCCCATAGACTCAGCACTGCCCATAGACTCAACACTACCCATAGACTCAACACTGCCCATAGACTCAACACTGCCCATAGACTCAACACTACCCATAGACTCAACACTGCCCATAGACTCAACACTGCCCATAGACTCAACACTGCCCATAGACTCAACACTGCCCATAGACTCAACACTACCCATAGACTCAGCACTACCCATAGACTCAACACTACCCATAGACTCAACACTGCCCATAGACTCAACACTACCCATAGACTCAACACTACCCATAGACTCAGCACTACCCATAGACTCAACACTACCCATAGACTCAACACTGCCCATAGACTCAACACTACCCATAGACTCAACACTACCCATAGACTCAGCACTACCCATAGACTCAACACTACCCATAGACTCAACACTGCCCATAGACTCAGCACTGCCCATAGACTCAACACTGCCCATAGACTCAACACTACCCATAGACTCAACACTACCCATAGACTCAGCACTACCCATAGACTCAACACTACCCATAGACTCAACACTACCCATAGACTCAGCACTGCCCATAGACTCAACACTGCCCATAGACTCAACACTGCCCATAGACTCAACACTACCCATAGACTAACCTGCCCATAGACTCAAACATTGCCCATAGACTCAGCACTACCCATAGACTCAACACTGCCCTAGACTCAACACTGCCCATAGACTCAGCACTGCCCATAGACTCAACACTGCCCATAGACTCAACACTGCCCATAGACTCAACACTTGCCCATAGACTCAACACTGCCCATAGACTCAGCACTGCCCATAGACTCACACTGCCCATAGACTCAGCACTACCCATAGACTCAGCACTACCCATAG